AATCAATAAATATATCAGTTGCATACTAACTGCGTCATCTTTCAACCTTTCATTCCCATCCATTCCCTTTCTATAACAAGACCTACATCTTCGTCTCTTTCTAAATATTAAAAAAATAAATAAATAAATAAAAAAAATAATAAAAAAAAGCCTTCCACAATGACAAGGAAAAATAAAAACTCATCGACGCCCCCCCCCCTCCCCCTACACACACAGGTCCGCGTGGGCACGATGCCTAGGATTGGCCAGGACTTCTCCACCTGGGCGCTGCTGGGGGAGTACAAAGGGCCTTACACAGTGGCAGAAGGACGCCTCAACTTCACCAGCGACACCGGACTCTGCGGCCGCTACGTCGCCATCCACAAGATCTCCTCAGACACTGACCATCTCCAGCTGCTGGACGTGAAGATCTATGTCAGACGCCCTTGAGGAGGAGGAGGAGGAGGGGGAAAAGGAGGGGGAAGAGGGAAGAGGAGGAGGAGGGGGGGGGAGAGGGGGGAGGAGGAGGAGGAGGTGGAGGGGGAGGAGGAGGAGGAGGAGGAGAGGGAGGAGGAGGGGGGAGGAGGAAGATGAGGTGAAGGGGGAGGAGGAGGAGGAGGAGGGGGAGGAGGAGAGGGAAGAGGGAGGAGGAGGGGGGGGAGGGGGAGGAGAGGGAGGAGGAGGAGGAAAGGGGGGAGGAGGAGGAGAGGGGGGAGGAGGAGGAGGGGGAGGGGAAGGGGGAGGAGAGGGAGGAGGAGGAGGAGGAGGTGGAGGGGGAGGAGGAGGAGGAGGAGGAGGAGGAGGAGGAGGGGAGGGGAAGGGGGAGGAAGAAGAGGAGAGGGAGGAGGAGGAGGAGGAGGGGGTGAGGAGGGTCCCATGCGCGTCGTTCTTCTTCTCCTGCTCCTTCGTCATCTTTCGTCTCTCTCGCTCTGTCGCTTTGGCTTGCTCTCTCTCTCTCTCTCTCTCTCTCTCTCTCTCTCTCTCTCTCTCTCTCTCTCTCTCTTTCTTCTCTCTCTCTCTCTATCTCACTCACTCTCTCTCTCTCTCTCTCTCTCTCTCTCTCTCTCTCTCTCTCTCTCTCTCTCTCTCTCTCTCTCTCTCTCTCTCTCTCTCTCTCTCAATCTATTTATCTATCTATCTATCATATCTACCAAGCTGTCTAGCTATCTATCTACCTATCTATTTACCTATCTAATACCAATCTGTACATTCCCAAAGCCTATCGAACACCGATTCAAGCCAACTGCCCTTATCAGACCCAAGAGTCGAAATCTAGTGTCCTTTCCTGCTCCTTAGCAAAAACCCTATTTGCAATATTTGTTATTACCAATATGTGGTTTCTCTAAAAGTTTTTCTTTAGAACCCACACTATAAAAAAAAAAAAAAAAAATAGTTATACAGATTACTTATGATCTAACTTCAGCCGAAGAGGTAGCTGAGAGAAGGGGTAATATCAAAACATTTAATGAGCTTACAATATTGGTTGATATATTCGAATCATAAATCATATTACACTTCTACAATTTAAAAAAAAATAAACATTCATCTACCAAAATGTCCAATTACTTGTAATCCAACGTGTTACTCTTCACACTTGTTCTGCTTCTCAGATATCTTCTTTCGTTTTCTTCATCAATTCCCTATGCTCCCAATGATGGTATTTTCTTTCATTCTTGTTCACAACACCAGAGACGAAAAAAAAAATCAATAAAACCAAACAATCCAGAAAAAAAAAAACATTCCTAGAAAAGAAATAGTTATTCTAGTTTAGGAATGATAAAACAATATAAAGTTAATTAAATATAAGTAAATAATTTCTTGAAAGAACAAAAATATTTCTTACAAACAAACAAACTATCTATAATGTCATTATATATGCTCTGAGTAGTTATATGCACATTATAGTAATTTTATAAATCAAATGTATAGTATTTTATGACTTTATTAATCATATAAATACAGCTGAATATTCTTTCTTACCTCGGATATTTCACGATAATCTAATACACTTTCAGGCTGTTGTATGGCTCTCCTCTCTGATTCTCTCTCTCTCTCTCTCTCTCTCTCTCTCTCTCTCTCTCTCTCTCTCTCTCTCTCTCTCTCTCTCTCTTCTCTCTCTCTCTCTTCTCTCTCTCTCTCTCAATCTATTTATCTATCTATCTATCATATCTACCAAGCTGTCTAGCTATCTATCTACCTATCTATTTACCTATCTAATACCAATCTGTACATTCCCAAAGCCTATCGAACACCGATTCAAGCCAACTGCCCTTATCAGACCCAAGAGTCGAAATCTAGCGTCTTTCCTACTCCTTAGCAAAAACCCTATTAGCACTATCTGTTATTACCAAAGTGTGGTTTCTCTAAAAGTTTTTCTTTAAAACCCACACTATAAAAAAAAAAAAAAAGTTATACAGATTATTTATGATCTAACTTCAGCCGAAGAGGTAACTGAAAGAAGGGGTAATATCAAAACATTTAATGAGCTTACAATATTGGTTGATATATTCGAATCATAAATAATTACATTTCTACAATAAAAAAAAATAAACATTCATCTACCAAAATGTCCAAGTACTTGTAATCCAACGAGTTACTCTTCACACTTGTTCTCTTTCTCAGATATCTTCTTTCGTTTTCTTCATCAATTCCCTATGCTCCCAATGATGGTATTTTCTTTCATTCTTGTTCACAACACCAGAGACGAAAAAAAAAAATCAATAAAACCAAACAATCCAGAAAAAAAAAACATTCCTAGAAAAGAAATAGTTATTCTAGTTTAGGAATGATAAAACAATATAAAGTTAATCTAATATAAGTAAATAATTTCTTGAAACAACAAAAATATTTCTTACAAACAAACTATTTATAATATCTATGTCATTATATATGCTCTGAGTAGTTATATGCACATTATAGTAATTTTATAAATCAAATGTATAGTATTTTATGACTTTATTAATCATATAAATACAGCTGAATATTCTTTCTTACCTCGGATATTTCACGATAATCTAATACACTTTCAGGCTGTTATATGGCTCTCCTCTCTCTCTCTCTCTCTCTCTCTCTCTCTCTCTCTCTCTCTCTCTCTCTCTCTCTCTCTCTCTCTCTCTCTCTCTCTCTCTCTCTCTCTCTCTCTCTCTGCTAGTTTCAGGTTTTAGCACTGTATATATAGTTCTTCTTAAACTATACATGCATAATTTTCAGAACTTAAATGAATTTTTCCAATAACAACAATAACACATACGTTTTCTTTATTGAAATATCAATTATACGACCTTAATATATCAGTACCATTGAAATATGAATGTGTGGTATATAAAAATATATATACTTTTTAGGATAAATTATTATATTTTATAAATTCCTAGTCTTAGTAAAAAATAATAATATAGAAATATATAGAACTTTATGCAAAAATGATAAGGTATCCTCTTTCTTGAAAAAAAAAATTAACTACTTTTATCTTACATAGCTAAAGACAAAAACCGAGGTAAATATATGTATTACATGTGCATAAAGATCAAGTAAGGTATACACAGGGTGGTTTCGAGACGATTTTTTGGGGTCATTCTAACTTCACTTCCCTTGTGGTCGTCACAGAACCCAAGAATGAACATTTCCCAACTCGCAGTTTTTTACTAAAGCAGAGAGACTACCTTTCTGCTCTTTAATTCACTTCCAGGCACTTTTTTGTGGTTGTTTTAAGCATTCCAGTTGTCCCTAGAAGTGTCTTTTTTCTGAAAAAATAAAGTCACCCTAAATGAAATGGAACTTTTCATCGATGTCCCCCAAGCAGATCCGCGTGTTCAGAGGAACTGGAGGCCTTTGCCTATATATGTATATATATATATATATATATATATATATATATATATATATATATATATATATATATATATATATATATATATATATATATATATATATATGATATATATATGTATATATATATATCATATATATATATCATATATATATATATATATATATATATATATATATATATATATATATATATATATATATATATATATATATATATATATATATGTATATACATATATATATATATATATATATATATATATATATATATATATATATATATATATATATATATATATATATATACATATATATATATATATATTACACACACACACACACACACACACACACACACACACACACACACACACACACACACACACACACGCACACACACACACACACACACACACACACACACACACACACACACACACACACATATATATATATACTTATATATAATGTATTATATATATAATATGTACATACATTATATGTATCTATCTATCTATCTATCTATCTATCTATCTATCTATCTATCTATCTATCTATATATATACATATATATACATATATATACATATACATATATTTACATAGATAGATAGATAGATAGATAGATAGATAGATAGATAGATAGATAGATAGATAGATAGATAGATAGATAGATAGATAGATAGATAGATAGATAGAGATAGATAAATATAGATAAATAGATAGATAGATAGATACAGAGCTAGATAGATAGACAGATAGACAGACAGGCAGACAGATAGATAGATACAGAGGTAGATAGATAGACAGATAGACAGACAGACAGACAGATAGATAGATAGATAGATATAGATATACATGGGTAGTCTTCAGTAATCAGTTGACTCCAGGAATATCAATCAGCTTCAGTCTACATTAATAGTCTCCTTAAACATCTCTTTCTCGTTGATAGCCTTTTTGCCGCTGGGTTGGCTTAAATTTGAAATGTTCTTTATGACTTTACTGGTTAAAGTTGCATTTCTTTTCTCTTATCATGATAGGCTGTAAGTTAATAATACATGATTTTTAAAATTTACATATCTCAACATCCCATTCCACTGAAATAAATAATAAATTCTATTGGGCTGTTTTGATTTTTGTAAATATGTGAATCAGACGGCTGTACTTAAGGATGTAATGAAAATGCATAGTTTATACAAAAAATATGTACTTATCAATATAAGATTGTCCATACAAGATATTAAAATCTCACTCATATATAAATATCAGCTATTTTCTTAAACATGATAAAAATTCTTTGTGCTGAATAAATGTTCTGTATATGAGAAATGAAAAAGACTTTTCTGTAAAATTCTGGTAATGAAACTTTATTGGTGTTATAAATAAAAATCTGATTATATTTCACTTAAAGAATACTGGCACATTCATGTAAATTTTCACGTAATACCAATGAATACATTATACATGATGTATGTGTATCACAACTCAAATGATATACCTCTCCTTCTGTCTTTCTAGGACAGAAGTAATTCCAATGGATGTATTATCCCAATGACAATGGGTTTTTTGTTCTGTCCCCTATAGTTTTTTGTGAATTTTGTCATATTCAGATGGCTCCACGTGTGCTCAACCACCAAGGAGTCTATCAGTAGGCCCTTGTGACCATGCCTGATTTCCCCATTCCTTGAATTTGTGGGGAAATGTCTTTTTCTTCCTAATACTATTAATAATGATACTGTTATTATTCTTATTGATATTATGATTATCAAATTTTTAATAAGATATCAATAACATTTAAGGCCATAAAATAATAAAAACAAAGCTTTCCAAAAATCAAGGAAAAGGGTAAACAACTGACTGACTCCTTGGTGACTAAACACAATAGATGAACACAACACAATAGATGAACTTATATTACAGTCCACATGGCATGTGTTCTTGCCATCTAAGCCAATTGGGAAAAAAAAATAAAATAAAAAAATACAAAAAATAAGAAAGTCATATCCAAAATATTAAGGATCTGCACTCCATTGCAAATGTGTGATTCTGAAGTGCATCATTATAAAACATCTAAAAAAAAAAATCTTGCAACATACAAAGAAGTGACACACAGAAACATGCAATATGAAGATGCCTGCAATATATACATATTGGAAATGAGGATAATTTAGCTGCCTCACAACTCACAGATCCGCCAGAAAGTCATCGGATCTATCAAAATAACCACCTGCCATCAGAACTCCTCAATCCATCCACTTGCCATCTCAACTTATCGCTGGATCTGCTTGCAATCTCGGCTTATCAATTTCTAGCTCAATGGCTGGCACTGTCTGTCACTTGAAACCAGAAAACCAAGTAACAAAAGACCTTATCTACGCGTGAGAATCATCCACAAAGGTATTCCATGACTTTGTATGAGATACTCTTTTCTGCGAGGGGGATTTATCTTGATAAATTTAGTACTTCTTTAACCAACACTTAACCAAGAGGCTCTTCTCTTCTCTTGTTGTACAGTCCTTTGGTTCTGACCTCACTTGTATTCAAAACTGTAATTATGACCCTCCACTACAAAATACATTGCAATGCACAAAGTGAATGGATTTCAGAAACATATCTACAGTCATTAACTTTTCCAATAATACATGATCAATATAAATCCATGGGCCAAGTCCCCAAGATATACATGTATACCAGGCTGAATCTGTGAATCAATTTTGAAGGATGAGAAATCTGACTCTTGAAAATCACAGACAGTTTTATCAGATATCCCACAGAAGTGCAAATAGAACAAGATGTTAAACACACCTAACTTTCAAATATCACGGCAGATATTGTGCTGCAATATTTTCATCAAACCACCTCATATTCACCTTTGCTGAAATGCCTTACATGCATGTTCCAACTCATTTGGACAACTGCCACACATGATGCAATTTTGAACTTCAATGTATCTGGCACTTATGTACATAAGTCAAACAAGACAAATCTGTATGATCACATATAGGTAGATCCCTTACAATTCTAAAAAAAAAATTATAAAAATTATAATAAGTGTCAAGTCACAAACTAGTAACTTATACAATATTTAAAAATAAATATAAGTGAAATGCCTGCAAGTAATCTAGATTTTCACATTTACAACATGGGATGTCACAGCAGATATATAATGGCTATTTCCTTTTCTTCATGTGTGTATTTATCATGTATAAAATTATGCACTTTATTAAACGGAGAGACCAGTCCCACAGCAAGAAAATGCCTTAAGGGTCTTTGTTACTTAATACTTCAACAGAAAAGAAAAAAGAAAACTTATCCAATTACATTTTCATACATAAAGATAAAATTCATTCAAATTCAAGCCATATTCTTCTTTTTTTTATTACATCACAGATCAAAAAAATTAAAAGTCCATCACAGATCATAACTCTTTACAGTTTAAGTAAATCACATATATATTAGAAAGTGACTTTTTCAGCTACCATCCACTCACTCATATACCATCAACCTATTTTCTTTATGTTGTCATATCACCACCCAAAACTGAAATCAATTTATATTCCCATTACTAAAAAAATATTTAATTTCATTACCTTAAGCCTCTCCTCATTACTCCATATTACACCAAATCTGATTTGTTTACGAAAAAAATGCCCTCCCCTCCAAATTTAAATACGAACCAGAGGATATAAGAGAACTATATCTTATCACTAGTAAATAATTAATAATGCCTATGTCATGTTGGCTACTAAATACTGCAATATCTATGTAATCAATCTGACCCCATGGCATTTTCCCTCTATTTCATTCTAAGGAATTTAGGACTTCTATGAAAGAAAAACAGAAAAGTGCATCTAAGAGTTAAATCAATGTCCCACAGTATATAAAACTCCTGAATGTCTTGGAATACAAAGCCGAACTATATGTCAGTTCACAAAATTTGTGTCTAAACTTTCTAGCCCATTCTGCCATAAATGAAATTTCTCTTCCACTATTCATCTATATACTTCACTCTAAAGTTCTTGTTTTTGTACACACTATGACTCCTCTTTCGTCAATGGTGTTCTATCTTCAGTGTGAGTGATCAAAGTCTTGTTATTACTGTATAGAGAAATAAACTTCATATTACTAAATAATGCAATAACTAACATGCCAGTACAGATTGCAAACATACACTCAGTTGAACTAATAATAGTATTATTGTGGACAAGCAGCAGACCAGCACACGTAATGATATTAGTTGGGACTCTGAACCAGTTCATGATGCCTGCCCTCAGATCCTCTGGAATGACCTGAGACCGCAGGTACCCGATGGCTGGGAAGTACATCCCAACACCCACTTCCAGAATGAGGAAGGCCAGGAAGGAGAGGTACAGGTGGTTGCCGCTGGTGGAATAAATGCACAAAGACATGGCTACAATAGCCATACCAACCGCCACCAGCAAGAGTTGTTCAGCCGAATATTTCTTGGAGAAGAGCATGGAATATATGGACGAACCAATCATAATACAGACCATGAAGCTTGCAAACACCATGCCAAGGGGAGGGTGGCCAGGTCCCAGGACAGGGGTCCATTGGAATACAAAAATATACATGTTGGCTTCAAAGAGAGACTGAACCACCCCCAAGAACAGGATAGAGTCCTTGAACAAGATTGATCGAAGACCTTCCATGCAGGACTTCCTCAGATCAATGGCCTGATTTCCATAGTTTTCTCTCCAGGTCTGCGAGATGATCAGACCTGCCATGGCCAGGAAGGGGATGGCAAGCATGAAGGGAGCAACTGGTCCAAAGGCCAAGGTCTCAGCAAAGATGTTAGAGAACACCCCAGCATTTATGGCAAGCACCCCGTTCCAGAAGGTCGCCTTGGAGAAGGTCACAGACAGCCACTCACTAGGGAAGTCATGTGTTTCTGTGTGCTCATAGACATACCATGACTCGAAGGTGGAGAAGAGCATGGATGTCGATATACCCCCAAAAACCCTACCCATGAACAGCCAGAAGAAGCTTGAGCTGAGTTTGGTCAGGCAGCAGAAGGAGTACATGATGCAGAAGCAGAGTGCCATCTTCTTCCGACCAAACCGATCAGCCAGGGGTCCTGTCGTCGTCCCGAAGATGACACTGCTGGCAAAACCCACCACGTAGAGAAGGGCAATCTGGTTGCTGGCATAACCATAGTGTTCATACAGCTTGTACACATAAGGGCCCTGCAGCCAGTCAGAGAACAATGCCATGAAGTACACCAGGAAAAACGAAAACTGGAACCTCTTGAACTGAGGGTTATTGGCTGCCGTGATTTGGCTCTTGGTCTTCAGGGAGAGGAAGTGCAACGCCAGAGCTATGAGGGCCAGGAGGGTGAAGGAGCCATAGATGAAGGCCTCCATCTTGCTAAATGTGCCAATCACTGCGAGCTGCTCTGATGCCAGGGTCTGCAAAAGAAGGCTGGCATGAGTAAGGTAAAGGATTTTAAATCTTTGTTTTACCCACTGACATCAGGATGGCAAAAATACACACCACATCCACTATGTATTCTTTTTACTAATCATCTTTACACATAGCTCCACAAGTGCTTAATCACCAGGGTGTCAATTACTAGTCCTACCTACATCACCTGTTTATCCTTTTGATTTAATTTCAAAAAGATTTTCTCTCTCTTTCTGTTACTATTATTATTAATAACATTATAACAATTATCGTGTCAATAATAATAAGAATAACAACAATATCGAAATCAACATCATAAGAAAAATAAAAAATCAGTAAAATTCAAGGAAATAGGAAATCAGGTGAAGTCACAAAGGCCTTCTGATTGGCTCTGAGGCGGCTCAGTCTTTGTGGAGCCATCTGTGTGCAAACAAATTTCACAAAAGAAAACTCGTGATTCCCCAGCAGCAGTAGACTAAAAGTAAAGTTATATTTTGTGTACAACGTGTATATATACATATTTATAATGTAAAAGCAAATGAAAATTAAAAAGAGCAAAAATAACAATATTCTGGTAATCATGCAAATCAAAGCCCATTGCATATAAACCGTGTTTAATCATTAATCACACCAAATATGTGCTTTCGAATACAAAATATTCTAAAATTCTCTAAAAATATTTGTGTAATGTTGGGCACCAATTTTCCTCATTCCTACAACATTCACAAGTACTTTTAAGCCTCACATCTGGTGTCTTTGCACACTGCAACTTTGCAACTGACAATCTTTACCATCTGTCACTGAGCATCATATCTGACAACCAGAAAGTACATTTGACCTTCGCTTAAGGTTGTAAATAGTCACAGAAAATTAAGTGTCAAGTACAAATGTCATCCAACAGACACTGATAAGTAGTCATTCACAAATAAGTAAGGCGGGCAGGAGGGAGCTTGAAGATTGAAGATGAAGGTATGAACATAAGTAAAAGTAAAGAGAAAAATTGCAACTATGCAAGGAAAGGTTTAAGGGTAAACAGACAAAGCAAAGGTCGTAGAAACCCAATGCTTGCAGATCCATTGTCACTCTCCTTTTTATTAACCAAAGGATTAAAATTAAAACATACTTTTCATCTGCTCCCCTTAATTTCATATCATGATATCTGAGAATGACACGCGAGGAAATTAAATTCTTTTAGCACCAAAAAAGCTATTTTGTTTGCAGATGCTCCTAACCCTTGTGCCAATTAGATTTTTTTTTCACAATTACTCAACAAATGTGAGGCTTTTCTGTATTCCTTATTCTTATTTGTCCTGTTGTTGTTATTGTTGTACAAGAAACAGGGAAAAAATACACTCCTTACACCTGAAAGTGAAATACTCATGACTTCATTTTCAGCTTCATCTCCATCTCCACCTCCACCTCCATCTCCACCTCCACCTCCACCTCCACCTCCGCCTCCGCCTCCACCTCTACCTCTACCTCCATCTCCACCTCCACCTCCACCTCCACCTCCACCTCCACCTCCGCCTCCACCTCCACCTCTACCTCTACCTCTACCTCTACCTCCACCTCTACCTCCACCTACACCTCCACCTCCACCTCCACCTTCATCTTCACCTTCACCTTCCCCTTCACTTTCACCTCCACCTCCACTTCTACCTCTACCTCCACCTCCACCTCCACCGCCCCCATCTCTACCTCCTCCATCTCCACCTCCTCCTCCTCCACCTCCACATCCACCACCATCACTATCACCATTACTGTTATCATCACCACATTGTCACAATCCATAATCACCTCTACCACCAATAGCAAAGATAAGTAGGAAAAAAAGACAGTACATTAAGAACATTAAAACACCTCATAAAGGGGGACAGTATGGCGATACACAAAATTCAAGAAATTTCAAAGAAACTATTATATATGGCCATGAATACATCTCATTACAAAGTCCTGAATTGTTAATCACATTTTTTCCCTTCTGTATTTGCCATAATGAATACAAGCTATATATATGTTCAAGCCATAACCACACTTCCTAAGTCCTTTTTAAAAAGAAAGAAAGAAAGAAAGAAAGAATGAAAGAAAAAAAGAAAGAAAGAAAGAAAGAAAGAATGAAAGAAAAAAAGAAAGAAAGAGAAAGAAAGAAAGAATGAAAGAAAGAAATGAAAAAAAGGGAGAAAGAGAGAAAGAGAGAAAGAGAGAAAGAAAGAATGAGAGAAATAAAGAATGAGAGAAAGAATGAAAGAAAAAAAGAAAGAAAGAAAGAATGAAAGAAAGAGAGAAAGATGGGTAGACATGCTGCTTAACACCACCAATAACAATTTTGCAAAAATTTCCTTCATGTTTCATTTATTACCATGATCTGCATACGAACACCAATTTACATACCAACATTCGCCTTATACACTCATTAGGAGACTTTAACAGTACAAATAAACTCCTCCACTCTACTTATGGACACTTTTCCCTCCATGTCTTCCACGTAATCACCTTTTAGTTGGGAATTTTAAAATGATCCGGGATATATCTGCACTGCCGGAGAAACCAAACCCATCAACCATCATCACTGTCCAATAACAGCATCAAGAAAAAAAAACAAAACAAAAAAAAACGACTCAATGGAAAACAGTGATTACTCGGAGTACGGCCTAAGTATGTCAGATGCCACAGATACCACTACCATCCATTATATCAACAGTAACAGATATCCTTTTGCTTTTCTTCTGCAAGGCATTTCTCACTGATCAACAGAAGTTAACATTAATCCACTTGGAGCTTTCGGACAGTGTTATCTATCTTCGCACATAGAGCAACCATCAGTTTAATCCATTAAAATCAGACGCATCACACCTAGTTCGAGTTGAAGACTTAAGAAAAGAAAAGAAAAAAAAAAACTACAGAAGAATAGAAAACATCCAGTAATCAAGACAATACAATTAAGAAAAAAAAGAAAAAAAAAAAAAAAAACAATAACAAGGAGAACGAGAAAAAGTAATAACCGTTCTCGCTTCCCACGAAATGCAGCTCAAGTCAGACCTGTTACAAAAACACTGCTCTTGCCCTTGCACTTATCCGGCATGGAACTCGATGCGTAAAACAAAACGTGCTCGGTACGGAGAGGACGAGAGTACCCTAGAATTCATTCCAACTTCCTCCCCGCCATATTTCACATTTGCATAAATATGTTGGTACTATCAGCCAGTTGTTATTATTTTACTACTGTCCTTGCTGTATATATTTACATATTTATTCATTTTTTTGTTTGTTTATTTATTTATCTATCTATTTATTTATTTATTTATCTATTTATTTATCTATTTATTTATCTATCTATTTATATATTTATTTATTTATTTATATATTTATTTATCTATTTGTATATTTATTTATCTATTTATATATTTTTTTATTTATCTATTCATTTATTTATTTATTGTATTAATTCATTTATTTATATATTTATTCATTTACTTATTTAGTTATTCATTTATTTATCTATTTACTTCACTTATTAATTAATTAATTTATTTATTTATCTATTTATTCATTTAGCAATTTACTGAGCACTTTATTTATTTATCTATTTATTTATTTATTCATTCATCTATATATTTATCCATTCATTTATTTATCTATTTTAATTCTTCTTTTCTACCACATATCTAGCCTTATTTCTTTCCTGGAATTTCAGATAATCAACAGACAAGCTCTGATAGAGACTGTAAAATCTGTATAATCTGATGCTTAAATATTCAATTTATTATAATTAATTTATGTTCGTTCACTTATCACAATTTCCAAGGAATCACTTGTGCAAATAAAGCGCAACCCACAACATGGCATAGTTCATATAATCTTTCTATGAAACAGGAGAAATTTATACACATACAGGGGCACTCGTAAGAAAATTGAGAATTACAAAAATACGGATTTTTCAAAATACAATCCTGGTTATCACTGTCTTCATCTGCTTCTTTTTTTTTCTGTGACACTCATTTATAT